TCTTTTCACTCTTCTATTCTCCCAAATTCTTCTTTATTCCATTCCTTGATCCTTTCTTTCAATCTCTTTAGTTTCTTTAGACTTTAGTAAATCTCACCCTTTATTTCTCACATTGATTCCACTCTCCACCCACCGAGCACTAACCCTTTAGTTCAATGAATTTTGGGATTTCCAGCCACATATTTTCAAATCTAAAGGGTGTGGAGAGCCCTAGAGAAGTTGCTTGATTAAGGCATAAAGGACAATGATCAAAGGTTCCCTAAGTAGAGATTTTAAAATTAACTTTCCCTAAGTAGAGATTTCAAAGGCTCCTCCTAATCTACTAATGAAAGGAATCTATCTAACTTGGAGCATACTTGGTTTTCCTAAAGTTTGACCAGGTAAAAGGGGCTTAACTCTAGAGATTCTACTCGGGTATTGAACTTTCCCATGCTTGTGGTTATGGTCTAGTTCGGGTTATTTGTTTCATTTGTGAATCTTATAGTATTTAAGTCTCCCCCCAAACACCATGGTCCCTCCCATAGGCCCCTAATTGCAAATAGTTCCCTCCACAAGAGGCCCCTATCTCTGTATAAGTTAGGGCCATAAACATTTGTGAAAACCTATTCTCTTCCATCACCCACTTTCTTTGCTTTTATTGAAACTGGAAATAGCCCAATCAACTCCTCTTGACACCCCACCTCCTTATTTGTCCACACTGTAATAATTCTGAAGCACCCCAAGAGGGGGCAGAACCAACTCAAACCTCTACTACTACAGATACTTCTTATCCATCTTCTATCCACCCCTGAGAACTTTGTTTCTTGCAGCATTAATATATATGGTCTCTTTTCTTACCACATTCTTGATAATTCTCCTTTTTCTTGAACTCCCTAAACCCTTTAGATTCCAACAAAGAATCATCATTGTAACTGTTATAGAAGCTTCAAACTATCTGCACATGGGCCGAGTGCCAATTTAGTACCTAAGCTCAGTGTTTTAAAAGCACAAGGCGCAAAAAAGGCAGATGGGCCAATTTGCGCCTGAGGCACAAGGCAAGGCACACGCCTTTTTTAAGCAAGGTGCAAAAATTAAAAAAAAAAAAGCTAAAAATCAAAAAATGCAAAAAAAAAAATCAAAAATCAAAAAATTATTAAACATAATATTAATACAAGTACACTTTAATTTTAAAATAAATGTTTTAAAAAACCTATTATCTAATATTAAAATACATAAATATAACATGTGAAGCATATTGAAATGAGAATTTAAAAATAAAATCAAATATATAAAACATTTTCAAGCATATAAAACCCACTCTTTTTTTTTCCTCGATTGCATTACTTCAAGTAGCTAATGTGATGTAAAATATATTACATTCCTGATTCTACGAACAGCCTTTGTACCATGCCCCTCGAGGCAAGCCCAAACAAGTCCCCTATTTGGTAATGTTGTTCATTCATTCATCTTAATACAATGTCTTCTTAAAAAGCAATTAAAACTATAAAACCATTATTTTTTGTGTGAGAGAACTAGGAATTTAAGACCTAACATGGACTTGTTTGGGCTTGCCTCGAGGGGCGTGGCACGGGGGTCCGGGGGCTGAGCCCCCAACCCAGTCACTAGACATAAAAAAAGTAAAAAAGTGTCGGTTTCAAAAGGCGCAAGCCTAGGCGAAGGCGCCTACCTTGAAATGCGCCTCGCCTGTGCGCCTATGCGTGCCTTTTAAATCACTAACTGATCTACCCTCTTTTGACTCTTATCCTTATCGTACGATACTACACTGACAAGTTTTCCAACCTCCCTCATCCTTCTCTTTCTTTTTTTATTACCTTCCACTTCCTTCATATGGTATACTTTCAGTTTGGCAAGTTCTTCTTTTGATCTCTTAGGTTTCTTCCCCTTCTTTGTTTGATCACTACCTTTTTTTTTATGAATTGTTTGATCACTACTTTTTCCTCCTCTCTCTTTAATTTGGCCATCAATCTCCTCTTTCTCTACTGGTTCTATGGTAATCCCCTACACTTCTAACCTTTTCTCATTCTTCTCCTCCAGTTCAACTTAAGTTTGCTAGGTGTCCAAATACCATGTCCATAATCTCCTCCTCCTCCACTGTCACTTCAACTCTTCCACTCTTCTCAAACCCAATAGGGTCAAAGTTCGCTTAAGGTGTGGCACCAACAGAGGGATTAGCATCAGGCTGCGTAGAAACAAAACCAAAGGAGAAGACAGTGAGAGGAGGAACAAAAGAGGGAAGGGGGGGAAAAGACTCCCTAAACCGAACTAGTACAAACTTTCCCAATGTTAAGCTTTGAATGGTCAAATTCCTTTTCTTGATCAACCTATACAGCTAGCAAGTTTTGTTCCTCAAGCATTCCTCTGCTCCATTCATTTTGATCCTCTTCACCCCATTTACGGACACCATGTTCTTGCATTTGACCTGTTCCTAGATTTTCCTCTCCCTGAGGTTCCTCTTGAGATCCCCCACAGTCAGCAGTAGTTTCTTCCACTCCCATTCCTTCAGCTCCAGAACTTCTGTGCCCAATTGTTCTTCATCAAGGAGCTCTATACCAAGTTGCTCTATGTCCTCAATCTTGCAACTTTTTATTGAGTCCACACTTCCAATATTTGACGGTTGGTTAACTACTTCATCTAAATCCCTAAGTTCCTCCCAGTCAGTTTCATCGTCAAAGTCATGCTCTCGCTCAATGTCATAGAGCGGATTGGGTTTATCAGGGGTGATTGAGTGTTCCATCAAGAAAATCTTCCAACATAAACTTTTCCTTGGAGATTCTAGGCCTTTTGCCACTAAAGAGAGAAAAGGGAGCCTGGCTCTACATGAATTCTTCGCAACCTGAGCCTGAACTTGATGAAAGCTTAGTTGTTTTGAATGGGACTATGATATACCATAATTTGTGTCCCTATTCTATTGCTCTTGAGGAAGCACGAGCTTTTTAAGTGAATCGTGTGTCTCCGGTTCTGTTCTAATCCCTACGACAGGTTTAGGCATTGATTCAATCCGTATCTAATAGATGTTCTCCCTGGTTTGGTTTTGACCTTACTACTTCCACATAAGAGGCCCTGTGGCCCTTGGATTAAATTCAAAAAAAAAATTGAAATATTATCCTTTGAAGGAAGTCTTTCGGTTTCTAACATTTCCTCCAACTTTTTAGCTTCCAAAATTTTAGCTTCATCTCCACATTTCCTTCCATCCACCTAGCTTATTCCACGTGGCATCTAGTATGACACATCATCACCTTCTTCCTTCAACTAGGAGTTCCAAAGCAGCACTTCAGCTTCCGATGCAATACAGATTGTTCTCCAGGCATCATCAGAAAACACCTCCAACACTTAGGGGTGTTTCCTGGCTTCATTCCCACTAGTTTGATCTTTTTATCTCGCAATTCCTTCATACAGCAGCCTTCTAAGCTCCTCTGCAAATAGCAGCAACTCTGGAAAAATTGCTCCTACCAAAGTTTCTTCATTACAGTTGAGCAACTAACTTTCTATTGACAGTTTTCCATATCAAGTTTCAAAAGCCATCAGTTCCAACTGAAAATTCCCCATATCTAAAATTGCCTTCCTTCCACGAAAAGGTACAAGGGTTGCCTTTTCTTTGGATCGAGTTTGTCACATTTTCCTTTGTCGTGACAATCTTCCTCCCTTCCCTTCTGTGTTTGTTCAGACTTCTTCTCCGGGGCTCTTAGCATTTCCAATTCCTCTAGGCTCTTCGTACTTCGATTGGAAATCTTCTGGCAGGCATCACATTTGTTTCTTCCCTTGGCCAAAAAATTCTGTTAATGTAATATACCAAGCTTTATTGTTTCTTCTGTTCTCGACCAAAAACCACTTTCCTCCTCTATCTATCTTATTCATCCAAAACCACTTTCCTCCTCTATCTATCTTATTCATCCATCCCTCTTTCTTCATTGAGAAAATCAGGCCATCTATGAATTCTTTGAGCCAATTCAGAACCACCAAGTCCAAGATGACCATTGCTTATTTATCTTCTCGATTTTCAGATTTATTCCACCTTTAGATTTTGAATCCTCCAGTAGTAGTCTTTTCTTCACCTTGATTTCTTTCCTCTACCTTGTCGCTAGAATGAAGTTCTCCATGGCTACTCCTCCCCAGACCAGCTGTGCTCCAGGACTTGTCAATACTTAGTTACTTACTACCTCTTGTTTCTTTGGGATGGATTTTATCTATTTCAAAGAAAATAAAACTTAATATATCTTGTGTTTTGTCCTTGTTTTTTATGGATAGGGTGCCATCTCATCACCCATTTTATCGTAACCTTCTTTTTATTCTAATCAAATTTATCTTCAATTAGCCAAAAATAGAGGAGAAAAATTATGATTCCCACAAAAGGTAACATGCAGAACTTTACAATAACGAGAATGTTGAACTTCCACAACCAGTATAAGCCGCTAGAGCAAGTTGTGAATCTTCTAGTGTGACATCCTAACAGTTGGGGACTGGGACAGTGAGAACACTGAGAAGAATGCAAAATCCAAAAATAATAATTGAATGAGTACGACCAAAGGGCAAAATGCTATGGCTCTAAAGAAAGGAAAAGGCAAGTCAACAAAGGATCCCATGGGCCTCTTTACTTCATAATAACTTATCAAAAACTAGAGTTCAGGCATACAGAGATAACATCTCATTAAGACAAATCCAACAATCAGCAAACTCTTTGGAATGATGGATTATCTTGGCCAGGTTTAGGGAGATTGGAACTGTACTCAGATTCATCTCTCCCAGGATAGTATTTATTGGTGTTACTTTTTTTTAATTATTATTGTGCCAGCTTGTCTGTTTGTACTCAGCATGGTTGATAAGTCTCTTTATGGGTTATTTGTAAATCATAACTCCCATGCTATTAGAATCAAATAAAAGTTAAAGTTCAGAAGCACAGCAAGTCTAAAAATGGACTGTTTTTCCAGAATGTTACCTTAGTCAAAAAACTACTACAAGGAAATTGTTGAAATGCTCAAAGAAAAAATGTATGGATATAGAACCTTATGACATCATCGAAGGAACTTATATTCTTTACGACAGCAACTAACAGATTATCACTGAAGTTGAAGTGGGGAACTGCATCTAGTAGAGCACAGATACAACGAACAGCAACATGTTGGAAAGATGGCTGCTTTTCTAAAGCTATCAGCTTCTGCAGGTATGCCTAATAAATATATAAAACAATAGTTAGAATAATCCCATTACAAGAATTAACATACAGATGAAGACTGATAAGCAAAGCAGTCAAAATCTTGTGATTTACAATAAGATTCACAGACTGAAATCTGAATTATGAACCCCAAAGGCTCAGATACAAATCTTACCACTTCCTTCTAAAAAAAAGTATTTATCTATTATTGCTCAAATCCTACAATTCAATTCAGAATCTTATGGTTGACCCAAATGATGCAATTCAAATCAACTTAACCAGGGCCCATGCCTGTACTGTACCAATACTTTTTTTCTTTTTGTTTTTTTGATTCAAGGGATTTTATCTTTTAAACCTTTGCTAGATTAGAAATTGGTTTGGGTTATACAAATCAATCTAAAGATCCTTTTGAGTTTATTTTCCACCAGTTTTGTGTATTAAAGAACCATTATGTGCGGTTATCTGACCTTGAAATTGAATTTAATTACACCATCTATGGATTTTAGTGAAGACATGGTAAATATTATAATAGTGATTACCTGTACAATGGATGTGGATTTAAAATTGGGTTTTATCACCGTCCCTATTTTTTTAAGTTTTTTCTATGTACCAGCCTGAGGCATGCATGTTGCTCATGCTTTTTTTGATCAGTATGCATGTTACTCATGTTATGAACCTAGATAAGACATGTACAAGAATCATAAGGAGAAAGAGGGGGCAGGGGGGAAGAGAGGGAAAAAGAGAGAGAGAGAGAGAGAGAGAGAGAGAGAGACAAGTATTCATGAAACAGTACCAAATGGTTGGGATTTTATTCAATAAAAATAGTTGGGATATTGTACTGGCCCAAACGACTAGTCTAGCCTCACCTTGAAAGGCTATAGTGAATTGTGATACACTTCCCCTTTTCTCTAGCCTCACCTTGAAAGGCTATACTGAATTATGATGCCCCTTCCCTTTTCTGGCATTTTGTGAGATATGAGGTTTGTTCTAGTAAGAAATTTAAAAGGTGCGCCTAGGCACACAGGCGAGGCACATTTTAGGGTATGTGGCTTGCCTTGAGGGGCTTGGTACAAAGGCAGCTCATAGAATCAAGAATGCATAATGTTTAACATCACATTAGCTATTTGGAATCCAGTGTTTTAAATAAAAGGCATGGAAGGCATACGCCTCCCGGTGAAGCACTCCCAAAACGCCCTGAGGCATATGCTAGAGGCACTGACACCTCTGAGGCGTACGCCTTAGGTGCAAGAGGCATATGCCTCATGCGCTTTTTTCATGAGGTGTGCTAGAGGCGTACGCCTCATGCACATCTTATATAAAAAGACAAAAAAAAAAAGAAAAGGAAAGGAAAGGAAAAGAAAAGAAAAGAAAGCGAAGGGAAAGAAAAAGAAAGGGAAGAAAAAAAGAGAAAAGGAAAGAAAATGAAAGGAAAGGGAAGAGAAGAAAAGAAAAGAAAAGAAAAGAAAAGGGAAAAGAAAGTGGTTTGCCCCCTGTCCCTTCAGTTGGGGGGCTTTGCCCCCCAGACCCCCCCTTTCAACTAATGTTGTGCATCTTTATTCTTCTTAATATAAAAGATTTTTATTAAAAATAAAGAAAAAATGAATCCCCCCTTCCTCCTCCTAACCCCCCACCCCTTAAGGAGGCTTACGCCTCTTGCGTTCTGAACCACTCTCACGCCTCTAGGTAGTGGAACGCCTCATGTCACACCTCCACGTTTTAAAGCATTGTTGGAAACTTGAATAAGTTTTATATGTTATGCTTGATTTTATTTTTAAATTTTCATTTTAAATATGTTTTACATGTTATGTTTATGTATTTTAATTTGAGATAATAGGTTTTTTAAAAGCATTTATTTTAAAATTTAGGTTTATATTTTAATTAATAATGTGTTTAATATTTTGCTTTTTTGAATTTTTGGCATTCTTCTGAATTTTTCTTTTTTTTTTTTTTGCATTTTTAAGCTTTGCTTCAAAAAGGCACACACCTCGCCTTGCACCCTGTGCCTTGGACGCAAAATGGCCCTTGCACTTTAAAAATGACCATGACTTGGACATGTGCATAGAAGACCATCAACAGCACCCATAAGAAGAAGTGGTTTGTTGCCAATTGAAGGGGCTAAAAGGGCTAGGCTTAGACCAGAAGGACATGGATGAAGTAGTAAGAAATGATTTAAGCACAACAATAGATATGGCATTAAACAGAATTGAATGGAGAAACAGAATTCATGTAGACAAACCCATATAGTTGTGACTAAGCTTGGATGATGATGATGGTATTACAAATCACAATTTCCTCATTTGTTTTTTTTTTCTAAACAACAGAAATTTTCAGTTTCCTCATTTGTCTCTTTCACACCTCATGGCATGTATTGGGATTTTGGTTTTAGGATGAGTTTGAGGGACTTTGAAACTTCTTCAGCCTTAAGTTTTGTGGAAAACTATTCAAGGGGCCTTTCTTGAAACCATTAAACAATCATCATATTTGGATTATTAACACTTTTAGTGATTTTAATTGTGCTTCATTTTACCAGACCCTATCTCTCATCCATTCTTTTTTACAGGCATTCCAATGAAAAAATAGAGTGGACCAGTACCACCAAAAATCAAGGCTTCCCTTGGGAGGTGCCTTCATGGAAAAATCAACACTTTTAACATTCTTCGAAAGAGGAAGACTCATATTTTTTCCCTTTGTTTTGCAGGTGGAGAATTTATTTATGACTTACTAATCTCTTGCTCACACATATCTAATATCTTAGATTGGTTCTCTACTCTTTTTGGTTGTATCTGGATTCCCTCTTCCACTTCAAGCCTTCTTTCCACAACTTGCCAAGAAAGAGAGGGAGAATTATGTGGAGGTGCACAGCGCAGAAATGGTTTGGACGATTTGGGAAGAAAGGACTCAAAGAATCTTTAAGGAAAAGACACACTGCAAGGAAGTCCTCATTGACAGCATCTCAGATTCTTGGTTAAACTTGCTCATTGAATAGAAACAATGGATATGTTTAGTATCTTGTCAGTGGATGCCATACTCAGAAACTGGAAGAATGTAGTTTGGGCTTCAACAATAAAAAGGATCACCCCATCACCTTGGGAACAAAAATAACTTCAACTTTGCTGGCTGTAGTGTTGGCAACCCTGGAACTTCAGGTGTATGAGTATGTAGAGATGCAAATAAGAGCAGTTCTAGCTTTGTATTCCAGACCAGTAGGCCATAGAGACTCCAAACAAGCTGAGCTGTTAGCAGTACTACACAATTTGAGAGTGGAAAAGCTACTAAATTACAAGAACTCAGTGGTAGAAAGGGTCCCAAGGATAGTAATTGGCTGGTTCAGAGCAAAAAACAAGGGCTATGGAAATTTAAAGGGGCCACTAACAAACTGCAGTGTTTATTGGGGAACCGCATGTGACCTTCAATTAATTTAGATTAGCCAATGGCCTGGCTGATATACTGGCCAAACAAGGGGCAACCAGGGAACATTTTTACTAGGGTCAAATGTATGTTAATGATCAAAATGGGGTTAGCGGGCAAACTGCCAGCACAAACCAAAGATTCTTTTTTTTATGAATGAAGAAGTAGTTTTATTAAAGAGAAGTAGAGAACAAAAGAGAGTACAATCAACCTTGGAGGAGGTACAAGATGCTACCTCCCCTTAAGGGTCAATACAGACCCAAGTCTTAACAAAAAACAGAACAGAACTATAGATTAGCCCAATACAAAGAAGCCCGAGAAACCCCTTGTTTTGCCAGAGTCTGCCAAAGCATTTGATCTGCTAATCCACTGGAAGTTGACTGACATATTCCTTGTGATCCCATTTTACTTTTTCCAGGAGATCTCTGTAGCCCCAAACAGTACTGATCGGATTCAGCAGCCAACACATACCACCTTGGAGTCACCTGCACCCAAAGTTGGTTAGCAATTTGTAGGCCCTTGTACAGCTGCAAGTATTTCAGCCCTTGTTGAGTCTCCAACTCCCACTGGACCTGAGAATAAAGAGATAATGTTGTCGTCCTTGTCCCTCAAAACCCCTCCAATGCCTGAGGGCCCTGGGTTGCCTTGGCTGCTACCATCAAAGTTCAGCTTTACAACCCCTTCTGGAGAAGGTGTACACCTTACTTGTGCCCTAATCTGAACTTTCTATGATGACTGATCTTTTGAGCTTGCTGAATTCAGTTTTCTTGAGTGAAGGTGGCTCGGATTCTAAAGTATGGGGTCCTAACTCTGATGGGGAGTTCTCTTGTAAGTCCTTTTGTTCTCTGGTTGCCACCTCTTCTTTCCAGTCAAGGAAATTTGGTGTTCTCCCATTCCCGCTAAAATCAGTGCCTTTTGTTGGGAAGTGTTTCATGGAAGCATTAATACGATAAATACCTTTGATGTTTGATCTACTTCAAAGGAAGATACCAAATTGGTGTTTGTCCCCCAACTGGTGTGTTCTTTGCAAGTTGAATGGTGAGACTGTGTTTCATCTTCTTATCTCTTGCCCTTTTATTAGCTTTCTTTGGGATTGGGTTACTTCTCTTTTTGGATACAGTTGGTCTTCTCCTGATAGGTTGGAGGGTTTGTTTAGACCTACTAGAATTAGTTGTAGACAAAAGAGGGGCAGGACCTTATGGAGATGCACTAGAGCAGCACTAATTTGGACAGTGTGGGAGGAAAGAAATGCAAGAATATTTGAAGAGAAGGAACGAAGCAAGGAAGCCTTGGTTGAAACTATAACATTGAGAGTAGCACATTGGGCAAAAAGTTTGAAGCTGTTTTCAGATTTCAAGATTGAAGATTTCTTCAGAGCTTGAAGTATCATTGCTGCATCCTCAACTACAAGACAGACCTATTGTTTAGCCCCCTTGCTTTGTAATTTTCTTAATCTTAATTAATACATTTCACAGTTATTGATCAAAAAAAAAAAACTACAAGACAGACTTGTTGAGGTTTGGTCTCCCCCAATAAATGGTGGGAAGAAACTAAATTTTGATGGGAGCTGTTTGGGTAACCCAGGCCCCTCAGGTATTTGGGGGGGTGGGGTCATTATGGATGAAGAGGGGACATAATTGCTTTATACTTTAGCCCTGTGGAGCAGGATGACGTGGCAAGATTGAAGAGGGGAACTGGGTATTAGTAGGCTGATGATTGAGAGAGACTCTAAAACAGTGGTCAAGTGGCTGGTAAAAGGGGAGGGGTGGCACGGCATTTGAGGAATGATTTCAGAAAATACAAATGGTTGCCACCAAAGTTTTTGAACCGTCATTGACCCGGATGGTCAGACCGTTCGGACCAGAAACCGTTCAGGCAACCGGTACAGTTTTACCCCGAACCCGGTCTTTGGTCAAAAACCGTTGACCCGGATGTTTTGACCGTTGAACCATTCGACCCGGAGAACGGTTTGCGGCTTATTAAGTTGGAGCAAGAATGAAAAGAGAAGATCTCTCAGATCTGAGATCTACTGGAGAGAGAGAGAGAGAGATCAGTTGAGGGATGTGTGAGATAGTGAGAGAGATCTGGGAGAGCAGGCTAGAGTCTAGATGACAGATCTGAGAGAGAGAGAGAGAGAGATCTGAGACTAAGAGAAATCTCAGATTTACTTTCATCGCCGCTGCTGTAGTTCGCCATCACCGTCGCCGTCACTATTGCCGCTGTAAGTCGCCGTCGTCGACGCCGCTGCAGCCTGCAAGTGACCTCCTCCTCCTCTTCCTTCTTCTTCTCTCTTCTAAACTCTCTCAGCCATCGGCAGCTTCTCACATCTCTATCATTCTCAAACAGTCAAACCTTTTTTCTCTTGTATTTATATGCATCTTACCCTAATATTCCAGTCTAATGGGTAAGATGACATATCACCAGTTACAATATTTAAACCGTTCGAACCATTTGACCCGGATGGTCAAACCGCTGACCCGGAAACTGGTGGCCAGAACAGTTCCGTTTCCGGGCCGGTTTTTAAAACCTTGGTTGTCACAGGACACGTTAATCCGAGTGAAATGGGTGAGGAGGACTGCTAATAGCTTGGCAGATAGCTTAGCCAAGCAAGGGGTACATAGAACACATGTTTTGGGCTCAATGTAGTACTGGACTGGGACAGCTTCTATAGCTGGTTTATTTCACAACTTCTTTTTGTAATCATGCTTTTCTCGTAATTAATGAAATCTTTTGTGTTGCTGATCAAAAAAAATAAAGAGGTTGATAAGCTATATACTGTGTCTAGTTAGAAGTTATGTGTTTGGTTCCAGTTCTGCCATACATGTATATAGAAAGGGAAAATACACAATATGTATCACTAGGTATGGTAATCATACATATATACCACAAAAGGAGGTTGATAAGCTATATACTGTGTCTAGTTAGAAGTTATGTGTTTGGTTCCAGTTCCGCCATACATGTATATAGAAAGGGAAAATACACAATATGTATCACTAGGTATGCTAATCATACATATATACCACAAAAGGATCATTTCGAAGTAAAGGTGATTGCAGCAGTGAGCTAATCGTAAATCAGAAAAGTAACCAAACAGCATTTACAGCCTTGTATGGTAGCAGACAGCACTTACATAGCATCTCTTAACCTTAAGAATAAATCTTCATTGAAATACCAGGCATGCTAATAAATAAGAATGGAAACAAACCTTGTATGAGGACAGAAGTGTGGATTCATAGTACCGCGTTTTCCTTACAGCCTTAGAAACAGTCATCTCCTGCTCTTTTTCAGTGGGAAGTCTGATACGATAGCTGTTGGAATCAAAAAAAGTGAAAGGTCAGAAAATAAGTCAGGCACCAATAGCATGCAACAAGCATTATAAAGTGAAAGCAAATAATAATACCCAGGAATAATATCTTTGAAAACAGCCAACAGGGATAGCAGCCCAAGTTTGACAATATTATGATCTTCATCTTTAGAAATCTGCAACATCTCCTTTAAGAATTTAATATTTGACTCTGGATCAGCGAGTAGAGCCATTCCCAGCTCTGCAAGTTTACACTTTTTCATCGCAAATGCTTCTTCAGCTGAAATCTCTTCCTTCACCTCAGCCTATAGAAAGTAAAATGAAAGGATATACCAATCAAAAAACATGATGGACACACTGAAGTGTCTAACAAACATTTGGCTGGCAATAAAAAACAATGTATTAGAAAAACGAGGAATGTTCACTGTTAGTTATAGACTCCACAAGTAGGCAAGAAACATAGTTATACTTTAAAAGGAGGCAACCTGATTTACATAAAAAGAAAATAGGGATCCCTGGATTAGGATTGCAAATGATATACTTTTTTTTTTTTGAACAGCAAAGAAATTCATTTATTAATTTAAATCTGAATTTAAGATACAATAATTCCTAAAACAAAGTTAGTTTACAACAGTGCCAAAAATAAGGGTGGTCTACTAGCTCCCTGCTTGGCTAACATATCCGCCAACCCATTAGTTTCCCTTTTAACCCATTTGAGAGTAGAGTTAAATCTCTTTGCAAGTTGGTCAATCTGTCTAAAAGTGATCTTAGCTTCCAAAGGTGCTGACTCAATTTGCATTGCCCATGTTATAATCAGAAGCGAGTCTCCTTCAATTTCCAGCTCTCTTGCCCCTAATTGTTCAACAAGCTTCAGTCCTTGCAACAGGGCCTTTGATTCAGCTTGAATCAAGTCTGCATACCCGATTTGTCCTGAGAACAAGGCCAACACTGCTCCTTGATGGTTTCAAAAGATTCCCCCTACTCCTGCTCTTCACGGGTTGCCAAATGAACTACCATCAGTTTTGTTACCCCTGGTGGTTTCCACTCCACTCTTATAGCTTCTCTATGTGGTTCTAAGAGTGCCACCTCCAACCAATTTCCTAAGAAGTCATCCATGAGAATACCTTTTAACAACTCCAAGGTTTTAACCCAGTGTACCAATCTGATTTTGATAGTTTCAATCACCTCCTCCAAGGATTTACTTTTTTCCTTGAAGATCCTCTGGTTTCTCTCTTCCCAAATAGACCAAACTATAGCAGCACGTACTGTCTTCCACATGCATCTTCCTCTTTTCTTCTGTTGCCTTAGGAAGGTTGGGTTGAACAGACTCGCTATGTCTTGTGGCCTGGGAGAGCCCCTCTGTATCCAAATAGAGAACAAAACTAGACCCAAATACAAGAAACAAATGAGCAGGAGAGCAGTAAGTGAGAGAGGGTTTCACCACAAGCCTTGCAGAGAACACACACATGAGGAGAAAGGCACATGTTTGGCCTTTTTTTCTGTAGCACATCACATATGTTTACCTTCCCTAGAAACATCTCCCAGCACAGAGCTTGTACTTTAGGAGGAATTGGTTTACACCATATTTCTCTTATAGGAAAATTCACCCCCACACTAGCCGATTGGGCAAGTATGTTGAAGAAGGAACAGGAAAATAAACCATCTGAAGCTGGATGCCAAATTCTATTATCACAGCTATATAGCTCCAGGTAAACCACTTCCAATTTTGATAAAAGGACAAGGAGAGAATTACACTCATTATCTCTCAAACCCCTTCTAAACCCTAAATCCCAGTCTAACCCAGATTCTGAAGGTGTAGCTACCCTTGCTATAAGTTCAGCCTTTAGGTTTGACAGAGCACAGAGGTTAGGGAATTACAAGCTAAGAGGTTGGTCTCCAAGCCAAAGGTCTTCCCAAAGTAAAACTTTGTTCCCACACCCAACATCAAGACGAATGAAGTTAGAAAACAAAGGCAAGATTTCAGAAATTGCTTTCCAAGGGAAATTAGAAGCTACATTAGTTGCTAGTTTTGCATCCCAGCCATTTGTAGCTATTCCATGAATGCTTTCAATGACCCTGTGCTACAGTCTATCTTCCTCACAGGGAAACCTCCATAACCATTTTTCTAGTAGGGTTGTATTCCTCTTCACTAGATTCCCAACCCCTAGCCCTCCCTACTCCTTGGTTATACAAACCTGATCCCAGTTAACTAGTTGGTCCTTTTTCTCCTCTCCTGGCTCCCATAAGAAATCCCTCATTATTTTCTCTAGCTGCCTAGCTACTTTTTCTGGGATCCTAAAGGTGGACAAGTAAGTGGGCAAGTTTGCTAAGGTGGACTTAATCAAAGCAATTCTTCCCCCCAATGAAATGTAATTTCTCTTCCACATGGCTAACTTCTTAGTGAATCTTTCTATGACTGGTTTCCAAAAGCCCTCATGTTTTGGGTTGCCACCCAAAGGCAAAGCAAGGTACTCTAATGGCCATCTTTTCACCTCACACTCAAGTAATTGAGCCACTAATTGGATTTCATCCTCTTCCATATTAACTCCTGCCACACAACTTTTTCCCCAATTTACCTTCAATTTAGAGATCCTTTGAAATTCTTCCACTAGCATTTTCAAATTCCTCAAGCTATAATCATCAACCTCCTCACAAAAAATGATAATATCATCTACAAATTGCAAGTGAGATACCACCACCTCAAATCTCCCTACCCTCCAACCTTTGATAAACCTTATAGATCAGCTTCTTTAAGATTGCAAATGTTATACTTTTCAATCACAGCCATTTTAAAAATTTAAAGAAATAGAAAGTACTACTCTGAGCATATCTTACTGACCTAAAAAAACAGATCTTTGCAATATTCTAGACAAAGGCAAAGCTAGGTGACAGGGAGGTGCCTTGTCATCTAGGTGATAAGATTTCTAAAATTAATATCTATCTATCTATCTATCTATTCTTAATATATATATATATATATATATATATATATATATATATATATTAAGAATTCAGGTAGTTTCCAAGGCTACAATGCTACAAACTTTCATCTAGTGAAATAAATATTATAATATTTATTCATCAGGAAAATAATTTATTAGTTACTTCTTTATATCAACAAGACATCGTTGCCTTACCAATATTAAAAAAATAAGTTATTCACCGTTTAAAGAATCGTCTTTGAAACTATAAAGAAAATAGAGATTGCCAATTTAAATGAGGAAAATACCAACACTTCAGCTTGTGGATTTGTTTGCAGTTCCTCTGTTTTGGTTAGTTCTTTCTCTTGCTTTTTTGCCTCTTTCTTACTTTTCTTCAGCTTCGCCCTCCTTTCTGCTTTTGTGAGCTTCACTATGCTTTTAGCAGCCTTGTTATCTTCATTACTCATTGCATTTTCATTGTCATCTTCCTTGGGTGCATCTTCAGGTTTCCTGGATTCCTTTGCCACTGCATTAAATGTGAAACATCTAAGCTTATCAACCAAATGCTTACTTGGCTACATTTGAAACAAAAACAGTAATTTTGCAAGCAAAAGAGAGAATGAACAAAAAATCTCACTTGTTCTATAATAAAGCTTGCCATCTAAGGTCTTAACAGGAAGAGCATCCACAGGATCAACTTGAACTCCATCTTCCTCATTTTCTTTCTCTAGAGACCTATTCTTTCTAATCCGCTTCTCATACAATGCTTCTATTTCTTCCTCTTTTTTATTAGCAACACGAGTCACATGCCTTTAGATTTGCAAACAACATTGATTAAACCACAATACCATTCACTACAGAAGAACATATTAACAATTCATAATAAAGCTATGAGATTATAAGTTAAAACTCCAATGACTATGCCTGAAACCCTAGAAAACATACTAATACAGCATAACAAGCAGTGCCATGAACTCAAAGATGATGTGGTGTTGTAGTTCAAATTTACAAACCTTGTAATCGACTGAGTATCTAGCTTTGAAACAAATCCAGCATACTCTCGATTCTCCTTCACAAATTGCACATCCTCATCGGAGACTTCAATCTCATCTTCTTTTAACTCTGGAGGGAGCTGAGGCGGGAGGATTACCTTCTTCTTCTTCCCCATTCAAAGCAGTTGAGAGTGTGACGGCAGGGTTCTTTCAGAGACAACGGTTAAGAAGAAAAGGCCCCAATTCTCTGTTTTCTAGTCTGTATATCAAAGACTTGATCAGATTGAGTTAATAAGAAAGGCTACCACCAGGAGCTGCTTTTCGGCTTTTCTGAATATCTGAATGTTGTAACCTTTGAGGAGAAAAAAAAATTGCTTTTTAAATCCACCCCTCAAAATAAATATGTTTGGAAAATACAAATGTCGTAACATTTGAAATATGTCTATTTGCCCATTTTCATGAACTTAATATCATTTATGAGATCCTTTTGAACTAAAGTATATGAAAAGGTTGCAAATGAGCACTATAAACATAAAACCATCAATAAGAAACATAAGAACAAAGGGCGAAGATTGTCTTAAATGCACTCTCCATTTCAAAGAAACTGTAAAGAGATGACCTACAACATTCATTAACCATCATGCTGAGCAACAACTTTCAAACAAACAATCATTGAGCAGAGATAAAATTGCTTCAGCACACAATATATGCAAATCCAAATGTGAAAAGATAAAAGAAAAATTAAAAGGGATACTGAAGATACCTCACGCTGTTGTGAACACCAGAGATTGCTGAAGTTTGTCGTGAAAAGAGAAGTAAAAGAGGGGTTAGGGTTTAGCTAGTGTAACATGGGCACGGCCCACTTTGGCGGGCCGTCCACAATGTAGCAGGCACAGGGCCAGCATGGGCCGTGCCTGCCTGGCCCGGAATCTCTCAAAAGGGAAGCCCGGCGTGAAGGTGTAAAACAGGCCCGACTGAGCCAGCCAAGACACGACCCCTAGGGTTGGGCCAAGCTAAGGGAATGATGTGTCTAAAACAATTATATGATATTATACATGATAATTATATGATACGTCACACTTACTTTTTGCTTAATATGATAATTATATGATACATCACACTTACTTTTTGCTTAATATGATAATTATATGATATTATAGATGTGTCTAAATGTTCCTTTTTTGCAAAATTTATGTATTTTTATATTTTATTCTTTTTTATTATTTATTTATGACATTAAATGTCAACACGTTTGACATTAAATGTATCTTTGTATTTTCTTTTTTCCTTTCTTGAAGTTCTTTGTGACTCTTGGAAGATAAGTGTGTTTGTCTTCCACTTGTAAATTTTCTACTGATGAATTAATGAAAGTGTTATTGATAACAAAAAAAAAGTTTTGCCAAACAATAAAATAATTTCATTTTTGGTCAGTTATAAATTATGTATTTCATTTTCATTATCAATAAAAATAATTCTTGTTTAATACACTTATTTTTTAATTTGATTAATAAAAATATCATAAATGTGTCTATTTTTTACATTCTTATTATTTTTCATATTTATTTATATTTTAAAATTTATATTACCTAGCTATGACTTCATAGGTTGGTCAATTTGATTCACATGGTTGAATTGCTTAACCACCACTTGACAAAGAATGGATTTGTTTTTGAGTCAGTTTTAAAATATATGGGTTTATATTGTTATAAATTTTGAAATAAATCTAATTAGTAGCATTTAATAGTGAAAAATAACTTAAATATAGGATTTAATAAGAGAAAATGGGAGTTAATACTTTACGTGTAAGACTTAATGAGAGGGGATTAAATGAGGTGGAAAGTAATAATTGAAGTTACATTTTCAACCCTTACAATTAGAGTTGGACTAAATACACAAATATGGGCATTTTAGTAACCATGAAACTTGGCATTAAAGTTGTAATAAAATGACTTTTATACCCTTTCTCAAACAAAGAAATAAAGGATAATTTTTAGTCCAAAAAAGCTTCCACTCTGCATCCACACTTTTATATATAGTATAAATTTGTATTAAAACATATTAACTAAATTGAAAATGAACCAACCCAAACCCATATTGGAATTGTAACATTTCTAATTTTCATTATTCACAAGAAAAAATGAGATAAGCATTAGTTATAGTACATAATAAACAACCATTTTTATTAGCAAAAGATACTAAATTTGAAAATTTTGTACAAACACAATCCAACATATAGAAAGTTTTCTAGAAATATAGCTAGATAAAAAGCTTATGAAACATATTAATTTCTACTTTAACGAATCGTGTGACACGACATTTATCTTTTTTCTCCTTTTTTTGATATTTTGTTTTATAAATTCTACATATTCCATGTAGCTTCTTTTGAGCGCTTTTACCACCTCTTAAACTCCCACGAGTCCACGTTTTGTGCACCCATGGGTGCACTGGACGCGTGAACCCACCAATCACGTTCAACCACGTCGTCTAGGGGAACGAAGCATAACATTAACGGTGTTAACATGAGTTTGGCGGTTCAACTAGACAAAAACCAGACTAGTGGCTATCGGCGGCGATGACGAGAGCTCCGACGATAAGTTTTCTAGCCTCCTCTTCTTCTCTCTATTGATCGTGACTGATCATCTATAGAAATCGGCCACCGAACCAACGGCTATCGGTGGCAACGGCGAGAGCTCCAATGGTAAGTTTTCTTCTTCTTCTTCTCTCAATTGATCGTGATTGATCACCTGCAGAAACCGGCCACTGAACAAGCGGCTATCGACTGTGATAGCGATATTGGATGAACTGCTCTCGGATTCATTTGTACTTGAACAACCCATCAAAGATCGAAACTCAAAGACTTAATTACGAAAAGCAGAGCATAATTTCCTTTCTCGGACAATTTATTTTTTTCCTTTTGTAGATTTTAAGTTTGTTTTTTTGGTTGTCTTCCAGTTCTTTTTTTTCCTTCTTTCATTGATTTGATTCGTCGTTCTCAGCTTTTGGAAGTTCTTATATGCCACAGTATCAACGGTTGCAGTAGAGTGGCATGTTGTATTGAATTGGTAGAAGAAAATAATAGAACCGTAAGGGGATTAAAAGCAAAAGCTTTTCCCTCTTCATTTTCATATTAACACATGGGGAATCGTGACTCGGCAGTCGCCAAGTAAGAAAGCAGAATCGAAAGCATTTACAAGAGATTCCTTTCCCATAACTTTGGTCGTATAGTCCACGTGGCTAGTATTTTGCATCGTGTGAGTAGAAGTGGAATACGGTTTCATGATGTGGGATCGTCATTTGTGTTGATTTTGGTTAGGTTGATGAATGATGAAGTTGCCACGATCAGTAGAGAGAAGAAAGAGAAGAAGAAGAAGAAGAAGAAGAAGAAGAAGAAGAAGAAGAAGAAGAAGAAAAAGAAGAAAAAGAAAAAGAAGAAGAAGAAGAAGAAGAAGAGGAGAAGGCCAGAAAACTTACCACCGGAGCTCTCGCTGTCACCGTTGATAGTCGCTAGTTCGGTGGCCGGTTTCTGTAGATGATCATCATGATTAGTAGAGAGAAGAAGAGGCCAGAAAACTTACCACCAAAGCTCTCGCCATCACGGCTAATAGCCGCTGGTCCGGTTTTTGTCTAAGTTAAAGAAAGCAAACACAAAAGTGGTTGAAATCTGGTTCGATGGATTATCAGCCATACGACCAACAAGTATTTATAGTAGAAAGAATGTTGTAGTTACAACAAACATCTAAAACAGTATGTAACGTGCAGAACTTATCACTATGTGCAAAGCTTATCACACAATATAGAGTTTGGGATCAACACAAATGCATGAGATAAATATTAAGTTGTGTCCTATACGTTAGCTTTCTTCTAATACGCCCCCTCAAGCAAAATGTTCTGGACGAACATGAAGCTTGGAGAAAAAGCAACTAGAATTGTGTTCCACTAAGAGGTTTAGTGAAAATATCCGCTACTTGATTGCTAGAGGAAATGAACTGCACTTGAAGTGACTTTTGCATCACTAAATCTCGGAGAAAATGGAAGTCTACTTCTATGTGACGGGTTCGAGCATGGAATACCGGGTTAGCAGCAAGGTATGTTGCTCCAATGTTGTCAAACCAAATGAGAGGAGGCTGCTTAAGGTGTATTCCAAGATCTTTCAACAAGGAATTAATCCATAATAATTCAGTGACTGTTATAGCACAGGTCCAAAACTCAAATTTTGTACTTGAGTTGGCAACCGTTGCTTGCTTCTTAGAGCTCCAGACAATGAGATGCCGTCCCAAGTAGATAGGATATCCCCCCGTTGAGCGTCTATCATCCGAGCAACCTGCCCAATCAGCGTCTGAAAAAGCTTGAAGGATAAGTGGCCCGGAAGAAGATGAGAACAGCAATCCATGATCAAGAGTGTGTTTTAAGTACCGAAGAATCCTTTAACAGCCTTCCAATGTTCTGTGGTGGGAGCATGTAAGAATTGACAAACTTTGTTGACTGAAAAGGAATGGCCGGGACGAGTCACATACTGCAAAGCACCAACTAGGCTCCAATATTCAGTTGGATTTGGTAAAGGATCACCATTAAGCTTAGAGAGTTTTGAATTCACAACCATAGAGGAAGTGAGGGGCTCTGTGCTTTCCATCCGAGCCTGATGTAGCAGGTCCAAAATATAACGTCTTTGAGAGATGAACAGTCCTGATGGCTTATGTGTAAACTCCATGCCCAAAAAGAAGTGGGCTAGGCCTAGATCCTTTAGAGAGAAATGCTTGCCCAGGTTAGCAATGACATTGTTCACAAGAGAGGTTGAAGTGCCTATAATGAGAATATAGTCTACATATATTAGCATGTAGACTGGATTGTTGTCATGGGAGTATACAAAAAGAGATGGATCTGCTAACAAACACTTAAACCCCAAGGATTGTGAGTTGTGAGACAGGAATACCAAGCCCGGGGCACCTGTCGAAGCCGCCTTATGGAGCTTACAGACATGAGTAGGAAAATCTGGATTTTCAAACCTTTTGGGTTGTTGAACAAAGATGTCCTCATCAACAAAGCCATTGAGAAATGCATTCTCAAGTTGTCGAAGCACCCATTTTTGTGAAGTTGCCAATGCAAGAATGGTTCGGATTGTAACCGGTTTGACAACAGGGCTGAATGTCTCTCCAAAATCAACTCCTGGAATTTGATTAAATCCTTGGGCCACAAGACGGGCCCAATGGATCCATCAGCCCTCTGTTTGACAACAAGGCTGAAGTGATGCTTCCTTTCAACGGCTCCGTTTTGCTCGTGAGTATGAGGGCAAGCAAGTCTGTGAGTTATACCATGTTCATCAAGAAATTTGGAAAGATTCTTGTACTCTCCACC